TCAATAATAATAAAACCGCATGCAAAGGGATTAGTCAGAGAGTTTTTGATACGTAGGGGTTCTACCCTCTTGGTGAGATAGCCACGATGGTTCTCTGGAGATGCGTTGGATCATGTATAAGTACTATCGCTAGAAAGATCTTTGGAATTATGAGAGGAGGTTTCCCTCTTAAGACTCTCTCACGTCCAAGTTAGTTTACCACTGAAGAGTAAATTGATTCAAGAGGTTGTGTGTGGATTGTGTCTCAGACAATGTCTCAAGATCATGATCTTTATTTGATATTATCTCGTCGTTGTTTTCTTCTACTAAGTCTTGTATCCATCTTCTATTCGTCTTTTCCCTCAAAATAATCTTACTCTCTCTCTACTAATAGAACTATGGGATGTCGCAATAGTTTTTAATAAGTATATATGTATGATAAAACAATGTTTTCCAAATGGATTTGTGCTAAACTTTTCATTTCTTATTTAAACAACAAACAATATATTTCTATAATTTTTATTTTGGAATTATGAATAATAATATTTAAATTAAAATATAATCAAATATGGATGATTTTTTATGATTTTGGTTTCGATTCGTATTAAATTATACCAACTATATCATTTTCAAATAGATCTATGTTTTTTTTGATTCAATATTAAATTCAAGTTTGTTGATTAAATATGGTATTTTACTATTAAAATCATTTATAACGATGTTGGTTATTGATCACTTATGTATGGTGAAAATTATATATATATTTTTTAAATTTTAAATAATATTAATATATAATTTATATTTATGTATAATGGAGTTTGATATATAGATAATTTTATTTTATGATATATAAAAAATAACAACATATAAACTATTTAATTAATATTCTAAACTATAAAAATATGATTTATCACAAAACATGAGAACCAATTATAAAATGACAAATGTCAATTTTTTAGGAGAAAGTGAGTCTCTCATGAGTATCTCAAATGAGAGACTCTTACAAGGGTATCTAGACAAATTATCTTTAAAAACT